ACTTTATAAAATGTTCATAGCTAATCCCAAGGAAAGAAGCATATTGAAATGATAATAAAATATATTTTAAACTTTTTTGACTCTGATCTTGAGTTGCTTGTAAATAAGATGAATTTTTAAAAAATTTGTCTACTTAGACGTCCAGGTGTGGTGGCACATGCCTGTAATCCCAGCACACGGGGAGGCTGAATCAGGAAGGTTGCAAAGTTGGAGCTAGTATGGGCAACTTAATGACTTGGAAAAACCCTGTCTCAAAATAAAAAATCAATTTTAAAAGGGGCTGTGATTATAGCTTGGTGCAAAGGTCCTAGATTCAATCCCTACCTCTGCAAAATAGATAAAGTATACCTGGAACCATTTTATAATAGTTTATGCCTTAGATGTGTAATAAAGAACAAATCAAACAAGTATGGCCTGTAATGTTCCTCCTTACAACTTTATGATTATCAGACTAGCACTCCTTTTACATGCCTTTAAAACAGGTGTCGGCCCATTCTGCCCACAGCTTGTTGTTATAAATCAGTTTCTCTAACACAAGCATTTTCTGTGTATGATTTCATGCTTCTTTGGCAGAGATTAATGGTCCCATAAAAGACTGTGTGGCCAGCTAAGCATACGGTATTCACCCTCTGGCCCTGTACAGGGAATGGTTGCCAGCCTCTATCTGAAAATGTTGGTGTCTCTATCCATGAACATTGTATAACTCTATGCTTACTAAATCTCCTTTAATTGTTCTCAAATTGAAAAAAATAATTCTTAGTGGGACAGCATTGCACCTATTTCATTGAATCTGTCCTAAATGTTTCATGTTCTGGTGCAAACGTGCAGTCCTTTTAGCTTCAATTTCCAATTGTTTGTTCCTCATATAGCAAAATAAAATTGGCTGATTTTTGTGTATTCGTGTTGCATCCCACAACTTTACTAAACTTAGTTTATTGTTGTTGCAACCTTTGTGTGGGTTCTTTTCCTCACATCATCTGTGTAATTATATCTATGAGTTAGGGCAGTTATCTTCTTTCCCAATCCCTGCTCATTTTATTTCATTCTTCTCATTTTGTTCTTGCTGTAATTTTCAAAGCAGTATTAAATGAGAAGAGTGACACTGAACATCCTACTGTCTTTCATAATCTTTGGTAGAAAATCATTCATTCTTTCACAGTGAACTACGATATGAGCTGCAGCTTTTGGAGAAGCCTTTTTATCTTGACATTTCATCTTATTCCTGGTTTTCTATGAGATTTTGTCATGAATGGTTGCTGAATTTTGTAAGCCACCTTATTTTCCTCTTTTCTTGTTTTATAGCCATCAAAGTGATCATGTTATAGTTAGGTTTTGGTCTGTTGATGTGGTGAATTTCATTGACAAATTTTTGAATTTAAACCAACCTTACATTTATAGAGTAAACTCCACCTAATCATGATGTAGTCTTCATCTTATATATTGATGAACCTTGTTTGGTGATTTTGGGGTAAGGATGTTCATATCTGTGTTCACGATGGCCTTTGGTCTGTGAATCTCTTTTTTGGAAAGTTTTTGTCTGATTTTGGTATTGGAACCATGCTCACCACATAGAATTGTTTTAAAGCTTCCTTCTTGTACTTCCTGAAAGATCTGTATAAAGCTAGTGTATTTCTCCTGAATGTTGGGTAGAATTCACTAATGAAACTATCTGAACTTTTATGCTGTCGTAGGTAATAAAGAATGAGGGTTATCTCTTTTCTGAGTGATCTTTGAGAAGCTTTTAAAGAAATGTTACCTATTTAATGTAAGCTGTCAGATTTATAGACACAAAATTATTGTTTGTATTTTCCTATTACTTTCTTAAGTGGGGGCGGTAATAATGTCCTTTTATTACAGTTGCTACAATTGCTCTTTTTTCTTCTTGACCAATTCAGCTAGAAGTCTATTACATTGTTCTTTGCAAATAACCAGCTTAGGGTTTTATTGATTTTTTTTCTACAGTTTCTCTGTTTTCTTTCATTGACTTCAGTTTTCTTCCTTCTCCTTGCTTTCGATTTCAGTAGTTCTTCCTATAATACCGTCTCACAGTGCTCAGAAGGCTTAAACCAATTTATGGTTTCTTTTCATTTCTGACACAAGCATTTAATGCTACCAGTCTTTTGCTCAAGTATTACTTTTCAAATATTTGGAGCTTTTTCCAGTTATATTTCTGTTATTCATCTCAGTTTTAGTTTTCCTGTAGAAATAAGTATACCTTGTGTAATTTTCAGGAGAATCACCATGAATTCAAGGCCAGCCTGGGCTACCTAGTAAGCTCAAGGCCAGCCTGAACTACATAGTGAGAACCTG